ATGGAGAACTAGATGGAGAAATCTACATGGAGCAACCAGAAGGATTTGAGAAGACTGGAAAGGAGCACATGGTTTGCAGATTGAAGAAGAGCTTGTATGGACTGAAACAAGCTCCAAGACAATGGTATAAAAAATTTGACTCATTTGTGGCGAGTCATGGATATACCAAGACTGATGCAGATCATTGTGTGTTCGTTAAGAAATTTCCAGGTGATAAATTCATTATCCTTTTGTTATATGTAGATGATATGTTGATAGTGGGACAGGATATGAAGCTGATTGGTGATTTGAAGAAGGAATTAGCAAAGTTCTTTGAAATGAAGGATCTGGGCCCTGCGAAACAAATTTTGGGCATGCAGATCATTCGAGACCGAAAATCCAAGAGGTTATGGTTATCGCAAGAACGGTATGTGAATCAAATTCTGGAGAGATTCAACATGAAATCAGCTAAGCCGGTCAATACACCGTTGGCCAATCACTTCAAACTCAGCAAACAAAGTTGTCCTACGAGTCAAGAAGAAAAAGAAGCTATGGTGGGTATTCCATACTCCTCGGCTGTCGGGAGTTTGATGTATGCCATGGTGTGTACTAGACCGGATATCACTCACGCGGTTGGAATTGTTAGCAGGTATCTTTCCAATCCTGGGAAGGATCATTGGGAAGCTGTGAAGTGGATCTTGAGGTACCTAAAAGGCAGTGCAAATAATTCCTTGAGCTTCGGAAAAGGAAACCCAGTTCTTGAAGGTTATACAGATGCAGATATAGCAGGTGACATGGATAGTAAAAAATCTACTTCAGGGTTTGTGTTTACATTTGCACGGGGAGCTGTATCTTGGCAATCTAAATTGCAGAAATATGTTGCCTTGTCGACTACTTAAGCAGAGTATATTGCAATGACAGAAGCAGGAAAAGAAATGCTTTGGTTGAAGAGGTTTCTTCAACAATTGGGAATGAAGCAGGAAAGGTACGATATCCATTGTGATAGTCAGAGCGCATTGGATTTGAGTAAGAATGCGATGTACCACTCTCGCACGAAGCACACTGATGTCAGATATCATTGGCTACGTCAAGTAGTGGAAGAACAACAGTTCAAGTTGGAAAAGATTCACACTGATGAAAACCCTGCTGACATGATGACAAAAGTTGTAACAGGAGGAAAGCTTCAGCTTTGTGCCGAGTTCATCGGCATGGAATGCAAGTAAAGAACTGTAGTATATTTTCCTTTGGTTGGAGGGGAGAATTGTGGGGACTAGCCACATGAAAGTCCAGCCAAAACCTTGAAAAACAACAAACAAATCGCTGTAAGATTCTAACAACTAAAGTTGATTAGGAATTTTTTATTAAAAATGAGTTGTTATGTCTGACAATGTGAATTGTCATTTGGAGCTTCATTTTCCTATAAATAGGGAGCAATGGGCAGAGCTAAAATCGCACCAAGGAAGAAGAAAAAAGAGAGAACAAGAGAGAGAGCAGAAATAATATTTATGTGTGTTATTTTTCAGTGAGATAAAAATAGAGTGTTTGAGTAAATCCTGTGAGTGTGCGAAAAATACATTGGGTTGGGTATCAACTCTATTATTCCTTGTTTAAGAGTGGGTCTCACTGGGTCACTATATTTTACATTTCTAGTGTAAGAGAGTGTGAAAAGATATTGTAATTATCTTGAAAATATAGTGGAATTGTTCGGAGGTTGTCCCGTGGTTTTTTTCTCTATTTGGAGGTTTTTCCACGTTAAATCTTGGTGTCTTATTTCTTGCATACTTTATTTAATTGGGATATTCTTAGTATGCTCTGTGGTTGCAGTTTAATCTGATCTTCCACATCAGAAAAGAATTATTCCTGTTTGCAAGAGATTTCTTTGTCATTCTTGAGTTGCTGGGATTGGGGTTATTGTTTACCATTTTACCTTGATATTTTAATTTACATCTTTCGCATTTGCGCATCTGAGCCCAACACGATGGTTGTTGAGATAGATTCAATCAACTCCAATCAGGTCTGAGATCTTTAGAACCACCTAGTGGGGTACGACCCATTAGATGCAAGTGGGTCTACAAGAGAAATAGAGGATCAGACAGAAAGATGCAAACCTTCAAAACGAGGCTTGTTGCAAATTGGTATACTCTGAAAGAGAGAATCAATCATGAAGAAGCCTTCTTGCCATTAACCATGCTCAAGTTCATCTAGATTCTCTTGGTTGTTGCTATTCATATGGATTATGAGATTTGGAAGATGGTTGTCACAACAACTTTCCTAAATGGGAGTCTTGAGTAAAACATCTATATGTAGCAACCAGAGGAGTTCGTTGCAAAGGAGCAGCGAGCATATCTAGTGTGTAAGCTGAATCAGTCCATTTATGGACTGGACCAAACTTCAAGGTCTTAGAACATCCGGTTCGATGAAGTGATCTAGTCGCACGAGTTTCATTCAATGTCCGGATGAGTACTGTGTATAGAAGAAAAGTGACAGAAACGTGGCGGTGTTTCTTGTGTTGTACGTAGACGACATCCTTCTCATTGAAAACAATGTAAAGGTGTTTTCAAACGTAAAAGAATGGTTGTATGAGCAGTTTGATATGAAGAACTTGAGAGAAGCGGGGCATATTCTGGGGATCATGTTGATTCGGCACCGCGAGAAGAGAATACTCTACTAATCCCAATCTTCATACACAGACATTGTCTTGGCTCATTTCAATATGCAAGATTCAAAGAGAGAGTTATTGCCCTTTCGGCATGAGATTCCACTATCTAAGGAGATGTCTTCCAAAACGCCTCAAGAGATAGAGGACATAAGAGGGATTCCTTATGCATCGACACTAAGAAATCTCATATATGTGATGTTGTGTACGAGGCCAAATATCTACTATGCGGTAGGCATGGTTGTTAGTGGATATACTGAAAGCTTTGCGTTATTTACACTGTTTTCAGTTGAATGAGAATCATGTTTAATTAAACAGTTCTACGTTTTGATGTTTACATGTGGATTATTATGGTTCATCAAGGATAGAACAATGATCATATTATTTACTATTTGTAAAACATAAATAATTGGTTCATAACTTAGATGAAATTGAACAACCGAGATAGATATTTGTTTTAAATTCACACTCCCATAGAGATAATAGTTGGAGATTGGTTATAGAAATTTAATTTTTAATTCATACTAATAGTATAGATAATAGTTAGAAATAGGTGTAATTATAAATGTAACCTTGGAAAAGATAATAATAATTATTTTAAGAAGAA